CCATCGTGCAGTTCTGCAGGGAGTAATAGAGGCCATGGACTCAAAGGCTTCTGCAATAGCCTCCTCTTTGGGTGGACTCTTATGATTCTTGTACTTCGGGGTGGATCTAGATACCTTTTTTTTTTCAGTTGGTTCAATGTTTGCTAAAACGCAGAGAATATCTCATCACTTTCTTAAGAAATTTGTCAAGCAAATGCCTTAAATTCGTTTCTTTAATCGTTTAATTCCACCCTTAGCACCAAGGCTTGTTTTTGGCACGAGACAGCTGGGCCGCTCTCAAAAATCTCCCAGAGCTTGCCTCATCTAGCAACAAGAAGGATGGCAAATTGGCAAGACTTGAACTGATAATTTTCATGGTATTAATTCTTACCATTTTGTCACAATGAGACAATTCATAGATACAGGCAACGATGCTAGCAAGACTCGAACTAATGATCTTACAATACAGCTCTTAAATTCTTTCAACTAAATAAACTAGAATTGAAAATCTCACAATACAGTTGTTGCTTCCTTTTCATCTAAGCTATGCATATCCTCTCATGTGCCAAAGCAAAAATACAAATTTGGAATTTTAGCCCCGTAGAATAATCATCTATTTATGAAACATTATACTAGCTAGACTATGTGATGAAAAAAAAAAGAAAAAGCCAGGCTATACGATGGATGAGCTTAAACTCTAATTTTTCAATTTTATAACTCTAATTTCGCTTTGATGACATTTTTTTTTTTGGGCGAAAGTAGTTCAACAGAAAATTAAACAAAAAAAAAGGGTGGTAAGTAGGGATGTACGCGAATAGCTTGGTCAATGACTTGGTTTAAACTCGATCAAACTGAGTTCGAACTAAGTCTCGAACTACTTGAATACACATTCGAGTCGAGTTCAAGTCAGAATTTTGCAGCTCATTGGGCCGTATAATTTAAATAATATATATGTATTATAATTATAAAATAACCATTATGGATATAATTTATACTGAATTTACAAGTAAGGTGTCGAGTCAAAAAAGCTTGATTGCTCGACTAGATATGACTTGACTAAAGGTCGAACCTTATCGAATCTCGTCTCGAGCTTTTAAAGATTTTCTCGAGTCAAGTTTGAGTTTGAGATTTTTCGACTCAATCGAGCTCGGGCTCTAAGTTATTTATAGTTCAAGTCGAACTCGAATATAACAATACTGGTAAGCTCTATAGTGGGCCTTGGTCTTTGGACTGGTTACCTATGCTTGAAACGGCCCAAGAACAAGACAACAGTCTGATCTGAAGTCTGAATAGACATAGAGAGCCCAGGGACAATTAAGTCAAGAAAATTAATTAGGGTTTCTGGGAGGGTATAAGGGATATATATTTATTTCAGTCATCAGTAAAGAAGCCAGCCTTCGTGTTCATTTTCCGGAAACCAGAACAACCCTAGTTTCCGCCAGTTTCCCCCGCCCGACAGGCAAAAGAGCAAAAGCGAGAGAGGGATTGACAAAGCAATGGCGACTGCTACTACGCAGAAACAGCTGTCGACGAAGGAGGCCGACATCCAAATGATGTTGGCCGCCGAAGTCCACCTCGGTACCAAAAACTGCGATTTCCAGATGGAGCGCTACGTCTTCAAGCGCCGCAACGACGGTAAATTCCCATTCTATTTTATTTTGATCATATTTTAAATTTATTTTTTAAATTAATTTGTTAGTACTGTGCTATGTCGTTACTCGTCTGGTGTATGAGGATCTTATGGTATTCTAGATGTCTAATCGTTCTGGTATTATTTGCCTTGTTAGGTTCTCACATTTTCGGGCAATTATCTTTTAGTAGTCAATTCTGATGGTAGTGCAAGTCCTGACGAGTATGATGGGATCTCAATTTTGAAGTTAAATTATGGGGAATAAATTTCTGATTTTAGGTGTGAGTGACAATCTTTGAATATGTCGGGCTTTTTCTTTCGTCTCGTTTGAAGTTAAATTATGCCTAACGTTATGATCTAGCTGGAACTGAATGAAACTTGAAATGGTGCAGAATTAGGAATTTGGCTTCTGTTACTCTAAAATTAGGACACCTGACGTAGAATTTTGGACGAGCAGCTAGGTTGTAGGCTTAGCTAGTTGTAGATGGCCTTTTTTTCGGTGTGCTTGAAAGCTTTACTGAATGTGCTTGTGAGTCTTTTACTTTTGTTTTTATTGTATGTTGATTTTTATTGTTAACGGCTCAGGAATTCACATCATTAACCTTGCAAAAACATGGGAAAAGCTTCAAATGGCTGCGAGGGCTATCGTTGCGATTGAGAATCCTCAGGACATTATTGTCCAATCTGCCAGGCCATATGGTCAGAGGGCTGTCTTGAAATTCGCTCAGTACACCCATACTCATGCAATTGCTGGGCGCCACACTCCTGGTACCTTCACCAACCAGCTCCAAACCTCATTCAGTGAGCCTCGTCTCCTTATCCTTACAGATCCAAGAACTGATCATCAGGTTATCCCTCGTTCTTGTTTGAGGTTTACCAACTGGGCTTTTAAAATAAAAAATATGGACGGAATTGTCTTGCTTGTTATGATTCTCAAACTTCTTTTGAACTACCTGCAGCCTATTAAGGAAGCAGCTCTGTCAAACATCCCAACCATTGCTTTTTGCGACACTGATTCCCCTATGCGATATGTTGATATTGGTATCCCTGCTAACAACAAGGGGAAACACAGTATTGGTTGCTTGTTCTGGCTTTTAGCAAGGATGGTTCTACAGATGCGTGGTGTTATCCCACAGGGTCACAAGTGGGACGTTATGGTAAACACTACTGTGTTTTTGTTTTGATTTCACATCTATCAGTAATTTTGCTCATTCAAATGGGGAATATGCTCCAATTGATATTCCCCAATTGACTTCTGAAGTTTGATGATGTTTGAAATCTTCATAATTTCTTGTTTGGATTAACATGATGTTCTGACACACATAAACAAGTGGCAGCAAATTAGACTGAAATTTGTTTCTGTTACTTTGCATGTCTGAAATATAGTTCTTTTTTTTGCATTTTGGCAGGTGGACCTGTTTTTCTACAGGGAGCCTGAGGAGGCCAAGGAACCACAAGAAGAGGAGGCACCTGCTCCAGATTATGGTGACTTTACTTCTGCAGCTCTTGGAGTTCAGGATAGTTGGGGTACTAGCAATATTCCAGAGGGAGAATGGACAATGGCTGCCCAACCTCCCATTCCTGCAGTTCCTGCAGCTGGTTGGCCTGCAGAGCCTGGTTAGTTTCTGTCCTTTAAAACAAATAATATTATACGAAAAGTGTTTTACTGCCAAGTTTTTGTATTTAAGTGTATAATGTGAAATGGTGAATTGGCTGTCCTTATTTTGTTAGATGCTGCCACCAGTTTATGGCTTAAACTTTTTTAGTTAAAAAACAAGTGTTTTTGAGTATCTTTTAATTCTGCAACTTTTGTTATCTATCCTTGGTACATTGATGTCCCTAAGCTTACTGCTTGTGATCCATTTGTGTTGAATCGTGCATTGTTTTTATTTTGTATCCTAACCCTGTCAACTAATTGTGGAAATTTGTCTTCTGATTGTCTTCAGTCCCTGCAGTATCAACTGACGGATGGGAGGCAACTGCTGCACCACCAATGGCTCCTGGAGTTAGCCCCATGGCTCCTGGAGTTAACCCCGTGGCTCCCCCCGGTGGGGATTGGGAGTAGAAGTTTTTGTTAGGGAACATTTTGTTAATTTGTCCTCCTACCTTAAGCCATGCAATCTGCTTAGCTTGAACATCTGTTAGTTTATGGTCTGAATCCTGCCATAGTTATTTTTGTAGCGGTTGAGCTTAAAGAAAATTCTCTGATACAGTTCCAAAATGGTGTTATATGTTTGTCTCAAAACTATAGAGCTTATCTTCTGCTGATATGCTGGTGGATGTTTTTTGAAAATTTTGCATGTTGGGCATTTTCAAGTCAAAAACTAAGTTGATTATATTATGCTTTGTGCACGCAACCTAGTGTGAAGTTTGATCCCTAAGAAAAAAAATGTGTTGGTACTGGTTTGCCTTGCCAGTTGTGCAATCCCTTAAAACGGGGTAAAAGCATTTTCATCTTGAAATCGATCGCTCCTGGTAACAGCTGAATGTGGCACTTCCTATTCTTGTATTGCGCGTTCTAATGAATTCTTGTGCATTCAAGTGGATATTAGACCTGGCCTGTCACGCCAGATCTAAGCCACTGGGGTGGGTATGCTATCGGAGCGAGGCCACTCGCCACTCCAAGGGCGGTGGGAAGTCAAAAAGCTACCTATGTTTAATGCATGCGGCAGATGTGCCTTGAATCTTAAATACGCGTGTTACACTTACACGTACGAGGTGTACCCAATACGCCTTAAAGATACGGTGCTCGATGATTGGCTGGCCCGCCTAACGGTGCAAAGAAAAGAATTTGGTAAAACTTGGGAGTAAAAATCTTGCCACACATACAACAATGTAGATAACGGAAAGATTTGTAGGAATGCCGGAAGGAAGTAAATTATATCCGTCACCATGCCGAGTGAGTTGTGTGGACAGCTCAGCTTGGAACCTCAACGGACGAGATTTTGAACAGGTATTTCCAGTGTTGCAGTTCACTGGCTAAGTTGCGTGAATCCCTCTCATTTCTCTTGCATTAAATTATAGAGAAGGAAAGAGAGAAATGTTCATAAAAATCCGTTTGCGTTAATAATCAGAAAATAATCCAGGCAAATATCAAGAATAAATAAACTCGGGATGTTGTCACTTATCCATGAATTCCTCCATTAACTTTCAAGTAAAATCTTGTGCCGTGATTTTGACTGAGGACATTCTTGAGCATATCAATGGCAGGAAGATGGTAGCAAAAGAGCAAGTGGACTCGTAATAATGGCTAAGGTATTCATTCATGCCCGGAGAGAAGGTTTGATGAGATTTTGGTCTGACTATTTTGCTGTTTCCGGACTGCCTGCACCACTTTTAGGAGGTCTATTCTTTCATTTATTTATACTGATTATAAGTGGAAGCATAAATGTCGCAAAACAGTTTTGTCATCGAGATTCATTCAACGGCTTGGTTTTGCATATCCATTCAGTCTCTAAACCAACAAGCAACAGAAATTGAGAAAAAAGAAGGGGGGGAAAAAATACGAAAAAAAAAAAACACGTCCAAAGTTCGTGCCAAGCCTGTACAGTTAACTTAGAGACAACGAGCCAAATTTGTGCAATGGTTCCCCAGCTAGCGGAGTGTATCACTATCGATCATGGTTCACCTTCTGAAGCTGGGTGCTGCTGATGACATGTTTTGAGGGTTGGCATCATCATCAGGTAACTTGACAGCAGAGTAAGTACCTGCACCAGCCAGTGCCCCAAGTACGGGTGCAGTCAGGTAAATCCATATGCCTTTGAAGTTGTTTGCTGCTACAGCTGGACCCAGAGTTCTCACTGGATTCATCGACGCTCCCGTTGACTCCCTGTACCATTACACGAGTGGAAAGTTTTAGATTCATTGGTGATTTCTCAACATTTGTTAATGATGCTGGGGACTAATAATTCAGGAGGAATGACTGGTGTGCATCGTTTTGAGCCTCTCAAAGAGTTTACTTTTTTGTATTTCCCTTTCTTCTTCTTGAGCAGAGAGAAAGGAAGCATCTCGTTTTAACTTTCTGAGTTGTCAACTCACTTTCTTTTTCCCATTCCAAAAGGCAATTATACTTACATTCATCTTGGCCGCAATAATGATAGCAGCAGAAGTTTTCTTTTCCACACAAAATTTTTTAAAAAAAAAAAAAGATTTTCTTTTCTTATTCCTTTTTGCAGCATTATTATCCTTCCAGAAATCTTTATGGCCAAACCTTTTTCATTCTGAATCATCATAACAAGAAATCTATGTGGATTGTTGCCTGTTGGTCTCATTTTTGGTTTTCTAACATGAAAAGTACTTCTTGATTTCTTCGTTATGGTCACCTTCTCATGGATTGAATTCAGCCATTGACCGTGGCCCTTGTATGTTCACGTTTGAAATTTTTTCCATCACCAGTATAATTAGGAAAAGAAATTAAGGGAAAAAAAAATCAAAGAAAGAATCACTTGAGATGATTATTAAAATTTTGAAGATTACCCAGCTATGAGTATGTTGAGCATGACTGTAGCTCCCACTGCAATTCCTGCAAGCTCCCCCACCTGTGGAGTGACACAAATGACATGATCATCAATCTGAGAATTAACCATCTTCTCACAAGGTTCCACTAGTGTCCTACACATGTTAGGTTCTTGCATGATAATGCATGTGAGGAATAACATGATAATAAGTCTGAGATTTGGTCATCATGTTACATTACGATTACATACATGTGGATGGAAGTACAGAATCCAAGCAAACTTATAAGACAGAAAACCAAAACTGCAATAAGGCCAATAATTTCCATACCCTGTTTATATCATTACATTGATTTCCAGATCACTGACAGATTTGCCTGAACAAGTGTCTGTAATTTTGTAGTGGCACAACTTGATGTGGTCGTTCAAATTAATATTCATTAAAATCTGAAACTTGCAGCTGTCATCGTTTAACAGATTGTAGCAATGAATTACAATAACTAAGACTATTAGTAGCATCTGAGTAGTGAGGGGTGACTTACAGCTCTGGTGTCAGTGGCCACAGCAGTAACAACAAACATGAGATTGAAGCCAATGATGAATTCTAAAGCAAAAGCTTGGCCATACTCTCCTGATGGAATAGTTACTCCCCCGCTCATAATAGGATGGAAAATTCCCTTGAGTATAAATGCAGCAGCTAATGATGCCAATACTTGTGCTGCTATGTATGCTGGAACCTGACCAAAATACAAATTGCACCATCTAAGAGCATTCAAATGCTGTAATCTTATAGTTGAAAACTACTTGTCTCACTCTTTTGCAGTTTTTAAGGTTAGTTGTTTATACATGCTTCCAAGGAAAGTGCTTGAGAGCAGCAAAGGCAATGGTGACTGCTGGATTGATATGGGCTCCTGAAATATGGCCTGTGGCAAGAATCACAATCATAACAGCGAGTCCGGTGGATGCTGATAGGCCTATAAGAGTCTCTGAGTCTTGAGTCTTTTGATTTACTATGGCCGTGGCTGTCCCTGAAAAGATCAGTATCAGAGTGCCTATAAACTCAGCTCCCACCTGATTTGAACAGCAATTCAAGAACCAATAATATCACATAAAAAGTTATATATGACAGTTCATATTCAGTGCGGGATGTGGAAATTCATAACAGCTTTTGGGAGATTTGCACACCTTTCTTGCAAGTGAGACGGGAGGAGGCGGCAATGCGCAGGAGACAGAGGGTAAGGTACCTTCTTCCAAGGCCCATGCTTCAACCGTGAAGCACTTGCAGCTACTAAGAAGGGATCTTCTGCCATTGCCACTCCTCTCAGGCTTGATCCCACCAAAAAGGGGAGCTCCAGGAGTCCCCGGAGTAACTGGCGTTGAAGGGGCTGATGGGACATCTTCAGAATCCATCAATAAAGCAAAGGGATTGAGGACAAAGTAGAGTTGCAGTAAGAGAAGCTGGTACCGCGTGCTTAAGTGCTTACCCTTCCTTCGTCCTTGTGACTGAGCTGGAACATGATGCACAGATTTATACTACAGGGCGTAAGAGAGTTGACCTGTGCAGTACCATGAGAAAAAGAAGGCCTGAAGTGAAATTAGTGGACTGAATTCAAATGTGATGAGCTAGTGAAAGTGGATTTGGAAGTGGACGGCGGGACAAAATCAGAAATTTTTTTGCATTAGGAATTGAAAAGGACAAAATCAGAAGCATTGAACTTGAGACACCAGTCATGGTCTTCCCGTCCCTTCCACTATGAAATGTACGTATTTTCACTCGAGGCTAGCTTGAACTCAATTATTGTCAAGACCATTGTCTGCAGCGCCCTTAGTTGTTAAAGGAAAAGAAATAACCTTGGATTTCAACTTTAGTAAATTAAGATCAGGAGACGGCCAGAGAATCATGGTAGGTGAATTGCTGGCGAGAATGCACTCCTCTTAGGAGATTGTGTCGTCAAAGTAATCATATTTGGCAGCTTTCTTTTGATTAACAATAGCAAAAAAGGACTAAAGCAAGAAAATGATGCGCTGGTTGCTAGGATCCCCTTGGGCTGTTTAGTTGTTTACAGAAGATAAATGGTTCAGTTTAGCCAACTTAAGGAGTAGTTATGGCTTCTTAACCTTTTCTTCACTTTCATGTCGCAGTGTAATGATTGAGATCATTACCTCCAATTTTAAAACTAACACAGACAAGTCGGTGCATTAGTATCATGCAGGCAGCCAGTTGAGAGCTACGCCTCTGTGGATCAATTTGTTGCATTTGAAGGGGGTGTAGGGCTCTGAAATTGAGAAATTCTGTCATGTGACGTACCCCATTTAAACCCCGATTTCACTTAAAACAAAAATTCGAAATTGAAAGGATTTCAACGATATTGGAAAGTGAATTAAAGCATTTTATGAAATGGTACATATTTAATTTTTTTCCTTCTGATTATGTTTCATAATGAATGATCATCTTTATGTTTCATAACGATATTTGAATGATTCCAGCTGGTGAACAGATCATGGCTATTGTCTCCAACCCAATGCTTGTATAGCTTGGAAAGTGAAGTACAGATTTCTTGTCTCCAATTTGTAAGTTTACCAAGTGACACTTTTTAATAAGTATTTGGCACCAGCTACTGATAATTGGCAAGTAAATTCCACCCATCCTTGCTCCTTCAGTACATGACAATTTTGGTCCCTTAACTTACATGACCCGTGATCCAAGATGAACATTTTGCTTTATTCATTTGGTGGATCTTCAGAATTCAGATCAGCATCACCTTTGATTGCTAAGCTTCAGCAGGGGTTTTGAATCTTGTTACGGAGAAGTGAAAACAACGCAAGAATAATACAAGTAGTTTTTTTTTCCCCCCTTTCTTTTCTTGTTGAAGCATAAGAATAATAATAGTAAAAGTTAGCAAATGTAGAACACACAAATGATTCCAGTAGTGTCTTGCTACGTTCGTTTACATGGCAACTTTCTTTTGATGCATTTTCCCCAATCAGCCAAGTTGGCTACGCTGTCTTATCAGCTACATATATATATATCGAGTCCCTAGAGCTAACTCTACCGCTAGAAACAAAAGTCATTTCGAGCGTGGGAAGAATGCCTAAGTCTAAATTTTGTTCTAGTATACTTTTGTACCAGTTTGAGATGCAGAAGTGAAGGATAAAAAGTAGTCCCAGTATCATAAACGAACCAAGAAAGAGATTCTTAACATAATAATTATTAGTATTTCAACGGCAGGGCGTTTCTTGCGCTGACGGATGGTTGGCCAGGAAACAAAGTTCTTCCAATGTCATCTCAAAGACAAATTCTTGATGTCTAATTCAAGAGAGCCAATGATGCATTTGCATAATTATCTACTGATATGCAGAAGAACTAAATTCACTTAATGCCCAACTTGCCATGCCAAGGGCATCTCTGCCTTCCTTCAGACGTATCAGATTATGGCAGCACTTTCCATCCAGCTTTTTTTGTTTATGCAGCCATTTGTTGCCATTAATATGATGGATGCTAGTTGAGAAGTGAGATGCGATGATAATTATTGATGTGGTACAGAGCACATTAATCAAAGCAATAAAGGTTAATAAATACTATAGTAGTAGTAGTAGTAGTAATAAATACAACCTGGTAAATGAATGAATGAATCAAACTGCTGAATGATGAACAGCGTAACAGTACTAATAGTTTGAATGCTCGGGGGCTCGTATTGGGCTATCCACCCTCTCTCAGCAAAGCTGCCTAACCCAAGGAATGGACCCTCCGTCCTCGGGTTGATTCTAACCAACCACAAGATTCCCTCCCGATGGGACTCGGCACTGCGAGTCGGTCAAATTGTCCGGCCGTAGGGACGGCCTCCCCAATAAATAATATACTAGAAACAAAAATTTACCGCAATAATTTTATTATTAATGTTTTTTTTTTAGTAAGAGGAGAGGAGTGAGATTTAAAGAGTGAGAGACACTACTGCAACTCAAAATTTCTAAGACTGGGAGACTTTTCGCTATTTGAGGATGAATTACATTTGATTCCACCAGACATTTATTGCAATTATAATGAATTTGTTGAAGGGATTGTTAATGAAATCGTTACGTGACACATGATGAACACCGTATAATTCACAGTAAATTACTTGTACAATTTCGTAACAACACGCTGCCGACCGAATACGTGCAACAATTTCGTAACAATGCGCTTAGGGCAGTAATCGAATCGAACTGTTCCCGAACTGAGCAGCTCGGTCAAAAAATTGACTCGAATTCGGGTTAATCGAGTTCGAGAAACTTGATAAGCCAAACAAATCGAGCTCGAGTATCCATATGCAATGTTCAAAGGCATATTGAGTCTTATTGATTTTAATTTTTTAATATATCATTGTTATTATGAAATTACCCTTATGCCTAAAAAAAGTGGTTGAATTTATAAAATGTTTCAAATCGTATGAAAATTTTTAAAGGGCAATAATGTCTTTTAATTTAAAAATTGTCAAGAAAAAAAAATCTGACTCGAATTCGATAAGACTCGCATTGACTCGAGCCAATGCAAGTCGAACCTGAGTTCTATGAGCAATCATTGAACTCGAGGTCGAGTTTCAATAATACTACTTGTTCAATCTCGAGTTTGAACATCCTTCTTATATATCAAGTCGAACTCGAGTATGGCGATATTTGAGTTCGATTAAACTCGATTACATCCCTAAACATGCTACAAATGAGAGATAATAAAACAAGATCTCCTTTCCTATGATGAGCAATCATCAAACTCGAGATCGAGTTCCAATAATACTACTTGTTCGATCTCGAGTTCGAACATCCTTCTTGTATGTCGAGTCGAGCTCGAGTATGACGATATTCGAGTTCGATTAAATTCGATTACATCCCTAAACACGCTACAAATGAGAGCTAATAAAACAAGACCTCCTTTCCTAGGAAAGCCCCTTTATTTATCTTTTTCAAGAAGTTGCAAAAATGCCAAAACAAATATCTTTTAGAAATCTTGTATCCGATACCCACTATAAATTAGGAGTAACTTGCATCCTATTGAACATGTGTTACATATCCATGATGCCAAAACACATCCGTTCAAGGAATCAATTAGGTTCATCTCTAGTCCTTGCAAGTAATCTACTCTGCCAGTGACAGATCCCTGTTAGTCACAAGTTAAAAGGAAAAGAAATTTCCATCAGTCTTTCCTTATTACAACCACTTGCAAGCACCTCGAGTCTGAACTCGACGTCAAGTTGATCAAATTAAATTCGAATTTAAAAATATTAAACTTATTAACTCGCAGTCGGCTCAAGTTGAATTATATATATATGTTATTTAATAGTAAAATTACATATATATTTTTAATAATTTATTATTTATTAAGAAAAAATATTAATTTTTTATTTTTAAAATAAAATAATTATTTTTTATTTTAAACTCGAGTTCAAACCCGACTTGAATTTGAGTCGAGTTCGAATTTCGTAAAACTATGTTAAGATCCGATTCAATTAGATCGAAATTCGACTCGATTCGATTTGCTGAGGAACTAAGAATTTAGTATTAACAACTCTATATTATATTCATGGTAGTCTAGTACTGCTTATTGCGGGCCAATCACTGCTCATCTATTTGAGAGAAATTTGTTTGGATAGGGTATTATTTGAAATAATTACTGTATCATTTTTTGTGATATGATTTATGTGAAATAAAAAAGTGATTGAAAATATAAAAAGATGGGTTGAGAAATATGTTTATGATGAAAGCGAGGTATTGAAACTATCCAAACAATTTACTCGACTCTAGTAGCTCAGGGAGTCTTGAAGACTCAAACCAAAAGCCCCCACACTGAAAATTACAGAAAGTGAAACCCCACTTAACAAACGTGCACTTTTACCAAGGCTCGATTCCCGATTTCGCAGAAGAGCTCATATCACTTTGCAAGTCCGGGCCCCGGTTCATTGACACATCATCGGGATTAGTGAGCCTTATTATTATTAATATTTTTCTTAAGTACTATGATTAGTCAATATTATATTCCCATACACGTACATTCTTTAGACGAAGGTGTACAACACAATTATGTGGAAATTGGTATCATGACGAAAATTGTTGAATATTAGTAGCATGTATATTTATTAGTATGTGAGCTGTAATCGTGTCTCATCTAATGATGATGTTTGATTAACGGTTCCGATTAGTCATAGTGGTTTTTGCTGCGAAACACCGGATAATTCTCATCAGACCTCCAAGGTGGAGTGGAGGAAGTGACTCTACAGCTTTTTCACTTTTTCAGCGCCCCACCAAATTCCCTCCCACCAGTGACTTGTCCATACTCTCTGTTGGTACTGTACTAAGAAGGATAGTATTATAGCTACAAAACCAAAACCCATTTCTCTTACTGACCTTTTTTCTTACTGCTTCTTAGGGTTTTGAGGAACCATTTTAGCTCTCCAAAAACCCTGCGATTGCTGCCGGCGATTCTCGTGGTCGCCGCCGCAGTTACTGACGGTGGAGCCACATACATTTGGTCATCGTTTACAGTTGTCGTCTTTCACTGGTCACTCCCCGCTCTGTCTCTCCTCCTCCATCTTTTTGAGGTAAAATTTTGTAGAGGCCTTTTATTTTTCTTTTTCTTTTTCTTTTGTTGACAAAAAAAAAGTGGTGGAAATTTTGTGCTTCCCCTCTGTTTTCTGGCGTTATTTTCTGTTTTTAGTATCTATAAAGCTCTGCATTTGCGTAAGCTTTACCGTACTTAATCAGTTAATCCCCTTTGCTTAATGTGATTTTTTTTTT